ATGAGCGAGAAATCGTCCGTCAAAGATTAAAGAGGGAAAAATTAAAGGCTTTCCATGAGAGAGAGGATGCTGATGTGGACGGGTTACTCATGGTTACTCACCATAAGGTTACTGACCTGATCCATTCCCCCAGATATGTATTCATCAGTTTGACTCTCAACCTCAGGGTCTGCCTCGCCTAGAAATCTTTGATAAAACCTAATTGCAATTTGAGACATCTCATCAACTTCCTGAATCTTCTCCCCTTGTTCATTTTCCAGGACCCTTATAGTGCTCCTCTTCTGCTTAGAACGGATAGATCTATGACAGAATGTTGAGTTCATATCCCCAGTTTTCAACCAGGTTTCCCTTGATTTCTGATGAAGGAAAGATTCCTCAGCGTGAGTCAAAACCCTTAACTCCTGCTCCAGCCTTGTCACATTACCAAAATTATCAGTGGAGGGGTCAGACAACGTCTGCTGCTGCACAAGATAGACTTCAGTTTCCTTTTCTTTGACACGCCCCCTCAAATCTGAGTACTCCTCCCTGTTAAGCTTCCTCAACAAATTCTTCAATTTCTTACAAACTCTAATCAAGGGATGACCAGTCACATTACTATTCCAAGCCTCTACCAACAGCTCATCAAACTTCGGATGTCGAATCCAGAATTTAAAAAATTTAAACGGTTTCTGGGCAGATTTCAGAGAAGCACTAGTATAACATATAAAGGACAGTGATCTGAAACTCCAGGGGCTTGAATATGAACCTTGCTATCCTTCATCTTGTCTAGCCAAGCAAAGTTAACTAGGACCCTATCCAGTCTTTTGGCAATAGGGTTAGCAGACTGTTTGTTTAACCAAGTAAAGCATGGCCTAGTTGCTTGATGCTCTTCTAGTTCAAGATCATTAATCCACTCATGGAACACCATCATACTAGGATCCACCATATTTGTGATAAATTAAAAAAAATACAATATTTGTGTCAATTACCCATTTCTTGAAAAAAAAATTGCTATGAACAATTCTAAATCTAATAAAATAAATATAAAAAATTATCATATTTTTTAAGATAAAAATTAACTATATTCACGTAATATAGTTTCAATGTTCACATCACATGTTTCGGATATTCATTCGAGACAATATTAATATTCATGTGGTGGAACATGTCAATTGTCAACCATATTAAGTGAATACAGTGTGGTGCGTCCAGTGTGGTTTGGGGTTGACCATCTAAACTTGAGAGCAAATGACAAAATTAGAGTTACATCCGATATACTAATAGACTCGATCAAACAGTAATGAGGAACAAAATTAGACACTCCTTATCTACAGGTTCCAGTAGTTTGAATAGTGAATCGACCTTAACTTTAGTAAAATAATCAATGATTCCTCGTTTTAACATAAACATAGGATGTGGTAGTTGCAACAACCATAACACCTAAAGATCCAATGGTTTCCACTCTCCGTTGTACAACCAACTTTTTATCCCTCAATCTTCAATCTCTCGATGTATATGTTTTAAACCAAAATTCAATTTGTAATTCTCCTTCTGCAACTCCATTTATGCTACTTTGATGGACCTTCTCTCCATGAACCTGAGTTTCTCTATCAATTGAGTTTCTTGTCGGCTTGATCTCCAACTCATCAATCCTCTTTCTTGACCTCATCTTCCTCGGGGCAGTTTTAATAAGCTCGTAAAGCCAACACTCATCTTCAATTCCATCAATATGCTCTTCTCCTCCTTCTCTGCCTTCACCTGATCCAGTTCACTTCCATGCCCTTCAATACTCTCTCCATTTTCATTAATATCATGATCATCTACCACTTCTCTCTCTTCAGCTACTCCGATTTTGCTTCTATGTCTTTCAATACCCTCCTTGGTTCAATCACTACCCTGAACAACTGCCTCTTCACTGCCTTCACTTGCTGCAAACTACTTCCACGACTTTTTATACACCTTCCTCAAAATCACAATCAACTAATCAATATCAATCCATGGCCTTGGATCAGTTTTAAACTCTCTATGAACATCTTAATACCAGAAAGTCTAAATCTAAATATTCTTTCATTTAATCATGAACTTGAGTTTATCAAAATCTAATTCACTCCTTCTAAGTTGGAATTCCCATCACCCAAGCTCATTTTTGGTTCATTTGATCCCACATAACCATGATATTATACCTCTAACTAAAATAAATCAAAGCATTTTACGAAAAGAAACCGAACCATGAACTTTACCTGCTACCAAGTCCAAACACAATTTCTTCCTCTCACCATTTTCCTTCCCAAACCCAATATCAACTTTTACTCCAAGTTCACACCCCCAACTCCCAGTGTGTTGCGTGAAAGCTTAATTTTAGCAATCATTATGCTTGCAATTAGATTAATGGACACCAGCAAACGCAAAAATTCCACCAGACGATGAATGGTCTTCACTTTGAGTTTTGTCATAAAACTGCTGGCCCGATATGTTTATCTGTTTGGAGGCCATATGATGAGCAATACCGAATCAGTTACAGCGAAGTTATCTGTCACAGTAATGACAATGTGAAACATGTATTAACAAACGCGAATATGGGTTACTTTTATGGATTGACATTAGAATGACGAGATTGTACAATGAGATCGTCCTTAGTTAAGAGACATGTAAATTGGTTCATTTGGTATGGAGGGCACAAACCGTTAAAATTCTAAATTATTTGGGTGAGTTTGTATTTAGTGTTTTCAAAATCGTGGTATATGAGTTGGGTGATTAAAATATCTAAACCCAAACGAACAGACCCACCTACACCCCTAGGAAGAGTTTCAAAACTTAGTATTTAACCGGACAAAAATGTTTAGAGAACCAGTCCCCCTATAGTTTGCACAAAGATATGATTGCTTCACTATAGTTCTGGAAATTAATGGTAATTTAAGAATTCTATATCGCTTCCACATATTCAATACTATAATTCGATATGAAATATGCGAACCAACAATATTTTGGTTGCAAATTTATGATTATCGTCTATTTATAAGATAGATAAATTTATGCTTCACCATAGATCACAAATGTCAAATTTTACGTTTTGAAATAAAATTTTGTATAGCACTTTTGTAAATAATCCTTGTATTCCTACAAACTACAAAGTCACGTAACCTAATAAATGTAAAAGTTGTAAGACATACATAAACTCAAAATGTACTGTTTGATTCTTGGTGAAGAATTGTGTGGTTAGAGGAACTCACTTAGTTGATTCATAAAGCTAGGTATATCGTGATGATTCACTTTTAAAGGTGGCAATTTCAATCCAATCCACCAATCCAATCCATCAATCCATTAAAAATATTCATCTAATCCAATCCATTTAAATCCAATCCATTTGATCCAAATCCAATTGGATTTGTGGATTCATGGATCATTGGCAAATTACGGTTGAGTACCTATAATTTTTATTTTTACATTTTGGTACCTAAAATTTAATTTTTTATACTAAAAATATCAATGAAAAATTACGTTTTGGTACCTAAAATATTTCATTATGACATTTTAGTACCTAAACTTTTTACATTTTACATATTGGTCCTTGGTTGAGGATGTCATTTGGATTCATGGATAATCCACCAATCCACTTGATCCAATCCATGAATCCATTAGATCCAATCCATTTGATCCATGGATCCACCAATCCAATCCACCAATCCACCAATCCAATCCATTTGCCACCTCTATTCACTTTGTAAATAATTACAGTTACTAATTAATTCGATGATTGATTGTTGCGGTGGATAGTCCCATGATTTTGAGATATTTCAGTATTTTCTCTCTTTAATTCAAAAAATACATAAACATTGTTGTAGTCCAGTTGGTTAGAGCTATTAACTATCAATCTGAAGTACTTGAGTTCAAGTCTTTGTATTGACATTTTTTTTCCTCCTTGAGGAAGGAGCGAACGGCGGAGACGATCGCGTCATGGCCACGGTGGCGTAGATGGCGGAGGTAAGTTTTATTTTTATTTTTTAATAGTTGTAAAATGAGGTGAAAATTGTAAATAATTAAATTTTATTATTTTTTTAATGGCCACGTCACTCATTTAACGATCAACTATAATAGTTGACTGCCACATCAGCAAAAACTAGGGATGGCAACAAAACCCGAACCCACGGGTACCCACCCGATCCAACCCGGTCAACGCGGGTAAAACCCGTGTTGACGGGTTTTGGGCTGGGTTCGGGTTTAAACCCGCTACACTATTCACCTGGTTGGGTTGGGTTTGGGTTTAGGTAAACCCGCCCCATGGGTACCCGCTCACACATATAATTACTTTCCCGATATATTTAATATTCTAAATAATATATCTTCTTTAAACAACTAATATTATTTATGTTTGTGGAGACATGTATAATTTTTTCTTTCTAATTATTTAGAATGAAGTTGATATTATGGAGTGGAGAGTGAAGAAACTTATTTGACGAGGAAGAAGATTTCAATTAATCTTGTTGTTTATAGAAACATCTTTAATTTTGAGCAATTTGTATTGATCATTTTCGGTTTGCTTGTAAGTTCTAGATTGGTATTTTTTGTATGAGAAAATTGATGTTAACATTTTATTTTAAAAGAAATTTGTTATTGTAATTTTTTTACTACAAAAACCCACGGGTACCCATGAACCCGCGGATACCCAGCGGGTTGGGTTGGGTTTGAGTTTTTCAAACCCAACGGGTTTTACCCCGGATTTTTTTGGCGGATAAACCCATGGGTTTGGGTTTGACAAAACCCGTCCCAACCCGACTCATTGCCATCCCTAGCAAAAACTAACGGAGATTAACGGAGAGTGACCAAACTTGAAGTATTGAACTAATCTTAGTGATCATGAATGGAATTAAATATTTGCCGTGACCAAACATGAACGGTTTTAGTAAACCCAGTGACCATCCTTGCAATTAACCCATTATTTCGAATAGCGTGATAATGAAAAAGTAGCAAGTGTACCAACAACGTTTTTGAACTATACTGCAAATCAATAACATGCAATGAGTAAAAAAAAATGCAATGAGAACAAACATCATCAATTTACTGATACACAATCAAAATCTGAAAGCCGTTCATGGCTGCAAATACCATTAGAAATAACGTCATACATTACATCAAATGGGAAGACTTAAGAATGTGTAGTTTTTGCATGGCAGAAATACAGATATGACTTGTCTCACAACTTGCACTTGATCATGTATCTGCAAACTCACGGAAACACACTGTATACATGGATCCTGGGAAACAACCCAGCGAGATCTTCAAACTTCAATCATCATCGTCTAGAACGCTACGACGTCTCTGGATCTGACAAATTAAAACATGTCAGTTCATGTCATACCATATCCCAATGAGGGTTCTTTACATAGCACATGAGCAACACGCTAATGACTTACCGTGACTTTGGTTTGTTTCGTTGTTTGGGTGTTTATCTGTTCTAGCAGTGAAATCAGCCTCTCCTCCGACACCTGCAAACAGGGTTAGGTTAACAAATGCTGAAAACAATTACTAACTGCCTAGTAACCATTGTTGTGGACACAGCTATAGCATATACCTTCTCGACTATCTGACCCATTTGAGCCGCTCGAAGTATAACATCTTCAACACCTCTAGCTTTCTCAGGCTTGACTAGTGCAATTCTGGCAACTACACAAGAGGCGGCAGCAGCTTTAGGGTCACATATAGAATCAAGCACACTGACTGAATCCTGCTTTCTTAAGAAAAAAACACATAATGCTGAAACCAACAATAGCCCTTTACCACCAATGAATTGGTATGTATGAATTTAGCAGGTTAGAAAATTCACAAGTTGCAACCTGCATTACTTACTTCTTTCTCGAGCTTGAGCAGACAATATCTGACTCAACATCATCTGCCTACGCTCGTCAGCTTCCCTGAACCAGCAAATGAACAATTCAGATGACATTCAAAACCCAGGATTGTGTTATGTGTATACATTAAAACACGAGTAATCACTGGCGAAGTAGCAGTTAATGGACACTATCTAGAGAAAGACATAGAGAACCTCTTAGCATCTTCTTGAGCATTCTGCTGTTCCGGGTCCGGCTGACTAGCCTGTTTAGTAAGGGTACTTCCAATCAGCAATTCACCTCCAAATGAAACATTTATGAAAACACACAAGAAAATGAGCAGAGCGAGCAAATAATTACCGCTCCACCACCACCGCCATGCTGAGCCATTAGCTCAGCCATCCTTCTCTGCCTGATCGCTTCCAGCTCCGGATCAGCCTAACGAGTAAAGTAGAGCACAAACTAAGACGTCTAATTGATGACATAGCAACCAACTGAACTACAGCCGCCGCAGTCTCTCTCCCATACATTTGATTCCGGCGAGGGTGAGAAAGACAATCAAAGCAAAATCATTACGAACTGTACGCGGACGAAAGTTAAAGCAATTCCAAGACTGAACTTTACCAATCAATTCGAGAGCAAATAGTGAAACCCTAACAACATGAAAGTTCCCAGTTCGCTAAATGACAGACGGGAAATTGGAGCGACAAGCGAAAAGAGACGAAAGAAGTAATCGCACCATTGATTCCGACGACGGTGGGTGAAATCCGGAAGATCGCGAATGGGCGCGCGAAAGAATTATTCGGCACTTCCTAGAGCTAGAGAAGCTGCCTTCAGTTTCAACGGTTTTTGGTTAGGTTCTCAGCGGTCGCTCGACGCCATTTCTCAATGATAGAGAGAGGGATCAAACTCGTAATGTTAGAAAAAAGCCCAAAATTAGTGGGCCTCAAGCAAGTCCGCTTGTGCAATGCTTACTTTTTTCTGCGGTAAATTGTAAGTTTGATCACTTAATTACTATATTGTTTCATGTTCATCACTAAAAATATTTCATTCGATTAATAAAATTCTCCGCGAAGGTGAAAAAGGTGGCAAATACAGTGGAACAGAGGCGTAGTTCTACTGGTTTCTGATGTACATAAAACACAGGTCAAAACATATGAGCTACAATCAAACTTCGCATACAAATGCTGCAAATCTATCTCTGTAGCCATCTCTCAGGAAGCAGAAGGTTTCTTTCGGAGTAGGTTATGCATGTCGAGCTGATTGATCTTCGCAGCCAGTATGAAGTCGTTCTCTGTTAACCCCCCTGTGCAAGCATAAACCGCGCCAGTCAAATATGATTAACTGAAATGGAATGGAAGAAAGTCTAATGCAAGTTAAAACCGAATGTAAGGATAAGACCAAATAGCGCCTTGATGAGAACCGATGGTAGGTTCGCACTATTGAACTGTTAGCTATATATTTTTGTTCAGAGGCTGAGAGGCTCTACAGTCTTGTCCTTGCAAATTTGCCGGATTCATGACAGCAAATGTTCCTGGTTTTGCCTCTCTAAGAATGGTAAGATTGCTATAGAAGGTTGATATGTATAGAACTGGAAATTCTCACCGACTGCATGTGTCCATATCTCGATCTTAACATCATTCCATCCAACAAGATGAAGATCTGGATGATGGCCTGGATTAATCACAATATATTATCAAATGCAATCCTTCAAGCTCTAAAACCAAAATTTTCCAGTCAAAATAAGTTGAATACCTTCAGTTTCAGCAATATTGCCCACAAGCTGAAATAGCTCTAGTCCTTTGGTGAAACTCTTAGTTCTCCACGACCTATTCAGCTTCAGCTTACCATCTTCATTGACCAAGTTCCAGCCGGGCACCTATTCATGGAAATCACCAAGCCAAGGAAAGTTAATACTTAATTTTCAATTTTGACATCAATAGCAGCAAGAGATAGTAACACTAGTAACATGAAAAAAACAGAAACCTTGGGCATCATTTCAGCAGCACTTTCTTCAGTCATGGGTCGCATGTCCTTAGAGTTACATGGCACACACTTCTTGGTCACCAAATCTATCACAAAAACTAAGCCGCATCACATACTATCAAAGATCTGCAACTACCGAGCTTTTGCATCACAAGCCAATGCTACTATGAAACCACCTAAAAGAGAATGATACAAAAAACGAAGAACTGATAATAGCAAGAGCAAAGAAGCAGCTTCAGATGCCAACTGGCCTGGGAAACTCCTAAAAGCCGAGCAATTTGATAAAAGAACGTAGAGATTCGGAGTTTCTTGTGTCTAGGGTGATTCTTCCTTATAACTCAGAAGAAATCACGACATAAGCATTGTCAAAAATCATCACAACCAAAGTCCTAACTCGACTCAAAGGTAGGTAGGAAGGCGGTAGAGGGTTCATAACGACGCACCTCCAACAGTGCAAAATGGAAATGGAATTCAAGAAGAAATGGAAATGGAATTCTATTTCCAATTCCTATTTTTATAGAATTCCATTTCCAATTTTAGTGTCTGGTATAATTCCTCCAACTAAAGAAATGAATTGCACTTTTAACAATAATTAATAATATAATATATTTATTTTATCTTGGGAAATGAAATATGAATGATAGAGAAAGAGAGTAGTGTGATAGTTGGTTAATAAAATAATAATAAATAATGATGGGACCCACTAATTCCATATTCATAAACACAATTCCTACCACTTTTGATGGGAATTGTAATTCCCAAAACTTAGCCCAAATGGAATTCATTTCTCAACCTTCTTATCCTTCCAAACATAAAATATGGAACTGGAATTGAAAATGGAATTCCAATTCCTGAGTTTTTTTGTCTATCCAAACAGGCTGTAAAGCCGTAACTCAGCTTCCTAGTTGACGACACTCCCACAAGACCCCATGGAATCCCACTCACTTGAGTGCTCGAGCTGCACGCAGCAGACACCAAACCATCTCTCATTCACAAGACAAGAAATGCTTTCACAGTTTTCAGAACAGACAAGAGAATTAGAACTCCAAAATTATATGCACGAAAACATTGCGCCCCGAGTAAGTAACCACGTTTTGCCAAACTCCATGGAAGCAAACAGACCTTAATTCAATTCACCGAGAAATCTAGTTCCGATTCCACTAATTCATGCCAGATATACGAGGGGCAGACCAAAAGAGACATGCATTTCAAGATTCGTAGAGACTGAATGGGGGTAGGAAGTACCGTCCATGGCTTCCAATGAGTAGGTCAGCTACTGGCGCCTGGCGAAAACGAGATTGTTCAAATTATTCCTCGAAGGGGGAAAGGGAAGAAGGAGAGCAGTAGAAGGAATTCGATTAAATACCTGTAGCAGAGGAGAAGATGGCAGTTGCCGGAGGAAGACTGATCGCAGGGACGGAAGCAACAACCGACTCATCTCTGGTGGTGGAGGGGTGTGTGAGACTGTGAGTTGTGACTGTGCCGCTTTTGCAGCGAAAAGGTGGGTCGGGTTGGGCTTTTGTGGAAGTAACTGGGCCAATTGGGCCCATTCGCCAAAGGCCCAAACACGACAAAGCGAAGGTCCGTAATGATTCGACGGGAAGTAGACGGCGCGAGCTCCACAGGCTCAGCCGTGGATCGTTTCCTTCCGTGCTCAACGGCTCGTCTATCCCAAAGCCAAAAACAACTCTGGGAAGTGGGAAGGAAGGAGACCAGCCATTATTCTTCAGAAGCCAGAATTCTCCGCAGGAAAACGAAAAAATGGTACAGTCCTTCGCCATTCTCTCGAATTTTTAACCTTCCTGTCTCCATTCTCGAGTTCCGCCGTGGAGATCAGTTGCGCTTCGTCGGAATGCTTTTCCACTCAACTGATGTAGCAATGCGTCGGAGTCATTCTCGATCTCCCTTGCAACGATCGTCGATCGGTATCTGGTGAATTATTGATCGCTGATCTCGGCAATGCAGATCCGAATTCCTCCTCGATCGTACTAGAGAAAAGCCTCCGTCGTCCGATGCCGACGGACTTGCTTTCTGATCGGATTTTTTCCGTTGCATGATGACGGCGATTAGGTTTTGAGTGGTGGCTATGGAGACCTCCGTTTGCAGCTGGATCTCTGATTTTGATTTCTTGCTCTCCGTTGTTGAATTAACGTGGTTTACGCTTCTGTGTGGTGGCATTTTGTTGCAGCAAGCCTGTCCACAAGTGAAGAACATCCTGGTGTTGGATTCCGAAGGCAAGCGCGTCGCCGTGAAGTACTACTCCGACGAGGATTGGCCGACGAATGGCGCCAAAGAAGCCTTCGAGAAGACAGTCTTCTCCAAAACTCACAAAACAAATAATGCCCGTGCTGAAGGTCGGTCTGCATCTCACATATGCTTCAGTCTGTTCCTTGTTCCGAACTTGTTGATGGATTTTAAATCGATGGCCGGGGCTCGATTTTGGTTGTTGTTCGTGCGTGCAGTTGAAGTTACGATGATCGGAAGCTACGTGATCGTGTACAAGTTCGTCGACGATCTCCATTTCTTCGTTACAGGAGATGAAGATCAGAACGAGGTGATCTTGGCCTCAGTTCTTCAGGGGTTCTTCGAAGCTGTCGGCATTCTGCTCAGGTCCTAAAATCCTTCTCCTTCCTTGCTTGATCCTTCCCAGAATCCAAGCTATGGCCAATTATGTCAGTCTATTGCTAGAAAGAGCAGAGATTGATTGTTTCTTTGGATCAAACTTTAGAGGCAATGTGGAGAAGAGGGAGGCGCTTGAGAATCTGGATCTCATCCTTCTGTGCTTGGATGAAACTATCGATGGCGGGTATGAGATGATTCATTGGAGTTTTTTTTTCCAAACCCTGCTCCAAAATGTTACCCATTGTAAGAATCATGTTCCTTTTTTGTTCCTCGCTTCGATTGTGCAGTGTTCCTCTGGAAACAGATCCAGCTGTTCTTGCTAGCAAGGTAGCTAGTCATAGCATGGATTCGGGAGCTCCATTGTCCGAGCAGGTATCATCTTCGACCCCTGAATTTCTGTGTTTAGATTGGTAATTGTTTGGCTGTGCAAACCTGTTTACTTCGTGTTTTTGGGGTTCTGCAGACATTGGCTCAAGCGCTGGCCACAGCTCGGGAACACATCACGAAATCCCTTCTTAAATGATGAAGATCCTCGACTTTGTACAACGCGCAGTTACTGCCTCTCTTCTTATACATAATATGATGGATTGAACTTCGGTTTGTAATCTGAATGCTCTGGACTCCCCAGCTAGCATAGGAACATGTTTCTTGGAGCAACATTTGCCCCTTCGTGGCGGGAATGACGTACCCATAGGACCAGCTTAGCATATGTAATGCCAAAGTTTCCTGAAGGGATGGTATCCTTTGAGTGGTTCGCATTATCGTGTGGTCTCATCGATTTATGGAAAACGAAAGGGACGTAGGGACGTAGCCATTGCTATACTGCACTCGACTCTGTTGCCTAGAAGCTCATGACTACTTCGGAATCACAACATTAATGGCGAAGCGAATCTTCCTTCGAGAGTGAAAGTGCAGTACCATATTGGTGAAGGGTATACCAAACAGACCCTTTCCACAACAAGTCCCGGAAGAGTAATCATGCAATTCACGACAATTAACGATAGCATTCATTGCATGCTTGTCATGAAAGTAAAGATTTTGTTGCGTATTACTTGACACGCCATCAGCTTTCACAAATTCAGTTCGAGCAAACTCGAACCAAACCCGTGCAACACAGACGGGGAGCACCAGGGTGCACCCTCACAACACCAACAGTCTAAGGCTGAGCATCCTTCGAATATTTATTATCAGTCACTACTCACTAGTCATCAACAAATTCTAAAGAGTTTTTTAACAAAAGGGAAAGGTAGAGCATCATTTGGCCATTATGGGAGAATAACAATGGGAGCACCACCACAAAGCAAACCACACATAAAGCAAAGGAAATCTTTCTTAGCTTTGTTTAGTGAACCAAATTAGCACCAAAAGCTCAATACTTCTACTATATTACATTCTCAACATAAAAAAACACACATCAAGAGACTGGAACTACAAGACAATGTTAGGGAGAAACCCATCAAGAAAAGCCTGTTCCAACCCACTGTTGTTGAAAAGTTCACATGTAGGAAGGAAAGGGTTTCCATCACGAGGAGCTTAAGACTTCACAACTACATAAGGCAGAGCAAAGTTTCTTCACTATCAAAAGAACAAAACCACAAAAACTGCAGATAACGGAAAGCAGGTCCTCCACTAAACACTGAGATTAGCACTCTTCTTTCTTGTTCCTAAGGTTAAACCAGAGCAGAGATACCTATTATGCAGAGAGTACAGCCTCGTGGCACAGGGCAGTAGCAGCCACCGAAAAACAGGAGGAAAAAATCTTACATTCGATCTATTATTTTCGGATTGCCCTCTGGCCACTTTCAAACTCACTACAAAGACCCTGAAAAAACACGAGGTGATGGCAGGGAAGACAACGTAGCATTACCCTTTAGTAGCTGTTTTGCCATAGCTGTTGTTGGGTCTGCTTCGGGCCCTGGCCTTGTGAGCTGACGCCAAGAGATCCATCCCTTATGCCCTGTTGCTGATGATCATGGGATACCCCTGTCTGGGAATGATAGTAATTCGGGTACCCCGCAAGAGCACCATAATGCTGTGACGGCTGTTGTTGCCCTTGCCTAAACCCCGAGGGTTGCTGTTGCTGCTGCTGCTGCTGGTTCTGCCCCTGGAAGTTGTAATATGAGTTTGCAGGGGCTGTTGACATGGTGCGTGATCCATGACTGTGAATCCACATTGCTGAGTTTTCATTCTAACAGACAAAAAGGCAACGCCAAAATCAGTTGAGCTTCAGCGGAATAAAGAAACATGACAAACGTCACAATCATGTCCAGTAAAGCAGTAGAACTCATTTAGAGTGGTGGCAAATATCAACCCAAACCCACTACATACATCAATTAGACCAGAAGTCATTCGATTGTGGGTAAACTAAATTACTAAATGGCTTGGGTCGATGGGTTTCAGCATATCTATCATTTGAACCCAAACAATAAACCCACCAAGCCAGCCCCATTGGCCACCACTAACTAATGTATTATTATGCACCTAAGAGAACAAACAAGAAGTAGACCAATCCAGGAGCTCAGAGAACCAAGTACCTGCTGTTGCAGAGACATCAAATGGTTGCTGTCCTTGTACTGCGAGTTCAACACATCGTCATAACCAATATTTGTGCCAGCAGGGGCAGCAGGGGGGTTGAGAGGGAAGTTTCCTGAATGAATGCTTGATGAATTCCCAAACCCATATCCAGACGGGACGGCAGCAGACTGGGAGGGCAAGCTGCTTACAGAACCGGTATTCTTGTACTGGGGAAGCATAGCTGCCAGAGACTGGTGGTAATTGCTATTGCCTGCAAAAGTCTGTTGGTAAGCCGACGGTGATGGCATATATGCATAGCTCTGAGGCAAGAAAGGATAGCCAATCATATTCGCATAATGGCCCAGAGGAAGCCCAGGTTGTGAATATGGATGGACGGCAAGTTGCTGAGGCAGAGCAGGTCCTGTGGCAACAGCACCACCACCAAGTGATTGTTGTTGATTTGGCTGAGGCGTGGAAATGCTGGAGGCTCTCAAAGCCTGAAACAGGCACATAGATAACAATCAGCAAATAAAACGTCCAAGCTGTTCCACCATACATAATTCAATCAAGATCTTACATTTTGTGATGCATATGTATACATTCACCACATTTAACTGTATGGTAGCAATCTGAAAATTTACATAACACCATTGGGTGCGTTTGTTCAAGATTTTGTTAAAAGGAAGTGACTTCTCGGAAGTTCCATCAAAAGAATGGAAAATGTACTCGGTAAGGTTTCAACAAATTTTGAGTTGATCGGATATGAGCTATTCTTTAGCATCAAAAAGCAACTGATAGACAACTTATTTAGTAATAAAGGGCAAAATTGTATATGAAATTCTGGAGCGAGGTGGCCTTAAGATTTAAATAATTGTCAGTTCAAGGTGTCGTAGTTCTAAAAGTTTTTATTTAAGTTGGTATTTTTAAGACACTCTTTCTTTAACTCCAAACACCCTGTCATATATCTTCTTGAAGACAGCTCTAGTCTAAAAAGTAGTCCAAATACCATCCAGAAGTAATAGCTCATTTGAGATTCTTGTGGATAATTGTGATAGAGCTCCGGATTAAGCTCTATCTAGAGATTGGGGATTAGGGATCAACTAGGGATTGATCCGGGAGTTTGGGAATTGGGAAAGAGGTGAATTTAGGGGATTGAAGATAGAAGAGAGGAGGGAGGAAGGTTGCTGCCGATCGGCAGCTTGTAGGGGGAAGAGGAAGGCTCGGCGGCCTAGAGAGGAAAGAGGAAGGGAGAGAGCAATTAGGATTTAGGTTTAATCTACTGGTTTTCTTTCTCTACGTAAAACAATAGTTTAAATACCCAAAACATAATTACCTACTAACTACCCCAACTTATTAATCCCCCAAAGTATTCCCAATAACCAAAATAAACCCGAACAGAATAATTCAAACCGACATAAACCCCAAATAATTAAAACGTCTATCAGATTGTAACACTGGACCAAACATATCTACAATTACACTATACAATATACAGAAAATCACAACAGTATACCTCAGGCATGGACATGCTTGGACCACTGATAGAAGAGGCTGTAGTGCCATACTTTGTAGGCATGGATTGAGTCGCTGGGAAAGGTGAGTATGGCAGATCAGGCTCCCTCCCTGTTGGCACATTTGAAGCCAACAATGCACTAGGCAATGAGTTCGAATAGGCCTGCTGTAATCATTGGAAATAAAATGAGAACAAGCAATCATTTCTACACATCCAAGAGTAGGCAAAAAATACTTCATTATTGAAACCTTGACAGTATCAACAAGCCATGAAGAGAGAAATGATTCCTTTCAACAAGCCAGGTAATAAGGTAGGATTGGTCTGCCTCCATCATCCACACATACTTCACAAAAGTCAAACTTCACGATCAGAAAAACCTCATTACCAGAAGTACATGCTTTTGTGAATCCTGCACCCCATCAACTGTACTCACCCTAGCTCAAACATTCATGCTATGTATGCACCCCATTCCATAACCAGGTAGTTAAGAATTAAGACCATGATGCTTCCAAATATTTTCTAGAGAGATTTTTCAACTTATTTCTAAGAAATACAAGACCAAACCGTTTGACCAGTCATTACTCAATACGCTTTGAAACGTAATCCATGAAGAATCCAATTGCATCAGTGTACTTGTTAAGAACAACAATCATAAGGTAAGCATGGGTCCATACCATGACACTTGAGAAGGCAGCAATGTTCTGCATCTGAGAGCTCGGCTGTTGACTGTTAAAGGAAGCGTCTAAATGCTGAGTGTTTTCATAATTATAGCCAGGAGTAGATGAGGCAAACGCATATTGATTTCCCTGAGCAGCTTCCTGTGTTTCCTCCTGTAAGACTTGCGGTTGAGGGACTGCAGGAGAATCATAGTTCCCAGCATTCACATTACTAGTTCTATGAACTAAATCATCTTCAGCTGTACTTCTTAGGTGCTCATCCGCATAGTACTCGGGATCTCTGCAAGAGTATCAAATTAAGCTGGTTATGAAGTGACAACAAGCAAACAAGCATATATGATTGATCACTAAAATGAAGCACACCTAGCATCTGAGTGCCCTGCTGTGGAGGCTTCCACCGTGTCAGACGTCTCTTCCAGATTATTTGCCAACGCGCTAGATCCAAATGGCACAGACAAACCGGAACCAATGCCAGAACCAAAGCTACCAAAACTCAAGTGCGAACAATCTTGAGCATGAACTTGAAGATGATCCGGAATTATCACAACAGGGTTATCTTCTTCAGGTGATCCGACCTTATCTTCATTCTGCAAGCTCAATTGCTGTAGATTTGCAGCGACAGATGATGAACTGTCCTCCGCTGAAACAGAATAATAGGGAAGGCATCAAATATGACTGAGTGCCCCTAACACAGAATGTGGAGCATAAAATGGAATCACCCGGAAAAATGAATGGCAGTGTCATGGTAACCAGTGTGTCAAGGCAAAAGAATGGCACTGACAAGCCCCACAGAAGAAAATTAAGATTCACACATTCGGAACAACAGCAACACGAATTTCAGAAATCAAAGATGTAAACATAACCACAGAACAAGACTCAAACTGCTGGCACAAATTAACCAAATCCCATCACTAATCAAAACATTAGCTAATGTGCATTAAGCAAGCAAACAGAGTATAGTGCCTGCCTTCATTATGCTCAAAAGTGTGTCTATGAGACTGGTACGAGCTAATATTCTCATACAGATCATTGTTGAATAGTGAGGAACCCCCAGTGCCATCTTCCTGTATATGTCTACTGGATACAGAAGGAGGCCCAACTTGACTTTCATTAAGCGTTTCAACAAGATCATCCTCTTCTGACTGAGTTTCATCTGGCTCGGACCTCACGTGGTCATCTTCTCTAACTAAAGGTAAGCTTGATGAGTTCACATACAACTCAGGATCTGTAGGTGCCTCCATAAAAGATGACACATTAACACCAGATGGCTGCTCAATTGATGGCCAGTCATTGGAATAAACATGACTTGCAGAAGCTTCTGGTTCATTGTGCATCTCCGACACCTTGTGAACACTATTTTCAGATGAATGCATATCATTGTGTGCAGATGACCATTCATGCCGCTCATTAACAGTGTGGGTAGGTAGTCCAGATGCCTTACTCTGAGGCCTTCCCATTTTCACAATATCTGCCATTGATACCTGACCAGGAACCGTAACCCAGCCAGATTGAATTCCAGGAGTAGGCTGCACTAATGAGGAACGCCCATCACCTGTGCATACAGTTGGTGCTTTATTTTCAGCACTCGAAGAATCGCTGCAAGTAGAAGTAAAGATTAGGTCAGAATGACATGTACTCATACAATGAACACCATAACCACACTCAAAGGAAGTATAGAAGAGTGAAATGAGATTGAGACAAATACAGAGATATGAATGATGAAGAGTACTGTGGAGTATAATATGAGGAAACGAAGCACCCAGAAAGTAGATAGTACAATGATGGCATTTGATAGATATGGTGATCAAGCACCAGAAGAATTTGTAAACATCACACCATTTATTTGCTTTCAATTATCACTACCAAAGAAGCCAAATTCTTGCCCACGTTGCAATACCAATTACACAAGAAAAGATGAAGGATAAATAAGAGAATGATCAATTGAATAGAAACCCTGTAACATCATTTCTGCAACATGCCAGTTTTATTTTTTCTTTTTCATGATCTGTACATAAAATCTTGAACACTTGTTTGCTACTAGAGTTGAAAGCTCAACATCATTAGCTATTAGCACTCTCACAGAGCTTTCTGTTTGCTCCTGTTGAGAAGATGAAATTTCTACATCTGGATAACAGGACACTTATGTCATACTACTACTTTACACCAACAAAGACATAATTGTTACTATTTTTCTTTTCATGATCTGTTACACAAAACCTTGAACACTTGTCTGCTACCAGAGAAAGCACTAAATTATTAGCTAGTAACACACTCACAGAGCTGTGTTTACTCCTATTGAGAAAATGACATGTTTCGCATTTGGATAACAGGACAGTTAGTCACACTACTACTTTACACCAACAAAGACATGAATGCTACAAAACAGATGAAACTGTTGAATGAGAAATCATCATTATGCCACAAAACACATTGTAAAAACTGAGGCCAAGAGGATTTAAGAGCTGTCGTTCTATCATAAGCAAGAACTACAGATTTCAAATAATAGGATAAGTATAGTCCCATTGAAACACATGAAGTGGGATACAACAGCATCTGATGCAGTCATGCAGAGGTGTCACAAAGAATCACCTGGGAAATTGAGCTCGCCACCCACTATTGTTCCCTGCAGTGGCAGAGGCATAAGAAGTAGAACCTGCATAAGCATGTGCTCCATTTTCCTTCCTGTAAGCAGATTTACCATGCAAAACACCAGATTCTGTAAACAGCAACATAAAGGTGAGCTGTGTTAGATAGGCTCCAATGTCTATAATTTAATTTAAACACAATATAACCTCTTCGAGAAACAAAGAGCATCATGTTCATACCAGTTGAGCCATATTGATTTGATCCAGCACGCCCATGCCGGTCTGAACTACCCCTGCTACCGCGATGTGTTACATTATTAGCACCACGGGGCCGAATGTCTGTTGTATCCTTATTCTGAGTCAAATACAGAAGCTCTAATGAAAAAAGATTAAATAATAAAGAATTCACAACAGACGATCAGTAGGGAATACTTCTATTAAGTATTCACTAACACAGCTTCCAGGACTTCAAATGGATATACCTCTTTCTTCTTTTCTCGTTTGCTCTTAACTTCACGGAAAGGATCTACACAATGGGTAAGCATCACATCAGAATGAACTCAAACCAAGAAATTTCCCAAGTCCATCAGTCCAACAACATGAGGAGAAAGTAAAAGTACAAACCAGTACCGTCATTGTAATTGAAATTACAATAATCAAAGATAAAAACAGCCCAGCTCATTATGGTGAAGCATCAAAGAGAGAACAAATCTCCAAACAGCAATAAGAGACTAAATTTCTATTGAAAGTGCTGGCACAAGGAGCTGATAGCTCGCCTTCTTCTTCTTCTCTGTTCGACAAAGATGGGGAAAAATTATAAGTAAAGGGGGAGGGGAGGGGAGTCGCATGGTCTTCAAACTGCAAAGCACATGATGCTTGCACTGATCCCCCTGGTGTTTCCATGCTAGACTATTGGTAAGAGTCATTACACAGTTCTGCTATCACATACTTCAGCTATGCCACCCAAAACTCAGAAACTTCAACCTACTGATTTCCACAGTAAGAATGACCACTGAGACATTAAAATCCTAAAATGAATAAACAAGAACTAACGGGGAGAAGCATGATGACGAGAATATTCATCAGACTTCCCAACCCACAGAATGCAACTAAAGCAGAAACTTTTTTTCACATCATGACAGCAATAGCAGGCACCGAACTGACGAACATGCATCCGATCAATGCAACAGCTTAAGTTCACTCAAGGAGCCTCTAAATTTCCCCCCACTCAAAAACCCGCAAAAGGGGAAACATTCAGACTAAGAAAATCTGGAAGAACAAGAATAAAAAACATATACCGGCAGCCGACTCCAAGTCGGCTTAAACTATAACTGACAGCGTTGAACACGAAGAGCTTTCAATCGCCATAGCTGTACCTTTCGAACTCATCATGAGGAAGGCAAAACAAGTAAATAACAGGGCAAGAAAAGAAAGAAAAACCTTGAGTGAGGAGGCGATTAACGGCCTCGTTAGGGTCCATGTTACACTCCTTGAGCATCGCGTAGATCTCCGCCTCGGGACAGCTGACAATCTCTTTCAAGCTCTGAACTATCTTCCTGGAGCCCGCCGGTATGGCGGAAGTTCCATTGCTACCCTTTCCGCCATGGTTCCTATCGCTGTTGCTGTGCCCTACTCCGACTCCGCCGCCGCCTCCTTTACCACTCATCTTCCTTCCTCCCCCTCCCCTCTGCGACACCGCCCCCCAATCAGATCTGAGTACAGACGACGCCGATGGCCGGACTTCTGCTTATCCTCTTCTTTCTCAACCTTTTTTTTTCCGGTGACTTTCGCTTCCTCTTATTCTTCTGTCTGGCTGAGCGCGCTGCTGATGGAAAAGGGGGCGAGGAAAGAAAGAAGAAGAGAATATATCTAGGCTGCTTGGCACTCTCTTCCAGTCTTCTGCTTTGGAACACCGAAAACCCTTTCTCCCTCTCCGCTTTCTTCCCTCTTTGTTTTATATTTTTGCGTCTTATTTTTATAGTTAATATTTTCGTATGAACTTTGACCAAAATAAACATCTTGGTTAATTTTTTCGATCTATAATATCCTGTCCCGAAATATACACAAAAATAAACAATTTTGTCACATTCGACTTTTGACCGTTAACTTGGACGGTCAAACGCGTTGACCGTTAGTCAACGCGCCATGTCACTGTCAAGTCAGCATAAAATATTTAAAATAATTCACAATTTCCATACATTCTCTAATTTTAAGTTATTATAAATTAAAAAAAATCATCTAATATCTTAGTTAAACCAAAAATAAAAAATGAAAAAAATAAATATTTATCAGATCTTCTGACTTGGCAGTGACGTGACACGTTGATCGTTAGTCAACGCGTTTGACCGTCCAAGTTAATGGTCAAACATTGGGTTTGGCCAAATTGTTTATTTTGGTGTATAGTTCGGGCCAGGATGTTATAGATCGAAAAGATTGGCCAGGATGTTTATTTTGGTCAAAGTTCAGGCCATACGAAAATATTAACCCTATTTTTAGTGTTATCAAATCAAAACCTAATAAATCCGGACTAACCTGGTCTTTAGGTTTTTACTTTTAGCCATTGGGAATACCGTATCGTATTGGTGGTTCGATCAGAATAATATTTTATTGAAGACTTAATTGGTAGATGGTATTTACTGTTGAGTTTACAATACTTGGTTTTAACTTTACAATACTTTATCAGAACAATTTTAATATAAAATACAATATCGCTAAAAAAAAAATTTAAATGGATGCACAGCATCTCAACTTTCAATTAACACCAAACAGGGTTCGGAGAGCCCCTTAGAGTCATACAAAAGAAATGGATACAAGAAAGAAACTCGCAAAGAGATATCATGCACACCCAGTGGCATAGAATGTCCATGGCTAGCTAGGCAGTCTGCACATTTGTTGGCCTCGCGATAATATTGGAGATATTGACCTCCCAACCTCGACTCCTAAGCTCTTGAAACCGATCCACAATGGCAGTGTGATGGTGAGTGTCGCCATTATGTTGCTCGAGTAACTGGGTGGCACATCGCGAATCCAGCTCGATGCGGATCCAACGGTAACCGAGGTTCCATGCCAACTGAAGCCCTTCTACAACACCTCTCAACTCGGAGCAGTATCCCATGTTACAAGCAAACGCCGCAAAACAACGTCCAGTGTGATCTCTAATCAGGCTACCTGCAGCAACATGACCAATAGTGTGAAGAACTAAACCGTCTGAGTTGAGAGTGACCCACTCGGGAGGTGGCGGTTTTCACGAGATCTCGGCCTCTGTTCTTGTGGTTAGGAGCGTATGGACAAGCTCATCTTTATCCAAAGTCATCCTCACGACATTAATCCATGCTCGGATACGCTATAGAAAGGCCTCAGTAGTGACAGTTTTGTTGTAGAATACTCGATCGTTCCTTGTCTTCCATAACGACCAACAAGTGAGTCCGAAGCTAAGATCGTAATCCGGATGGTGTAGATACTTGGGTATCCATTCTTGTAGTGATGCTCCAAAAAAAATTCGGTGGTCAGAAGTCTTGATAACCTGCATCCATACATACCGGGGGAAAGGACAGTCCCGCAACACATGCAGGATTGTTTCAGGGGCATCTTTACAAAGCGTGCAACTGCGATTGGTGGAGATGTGTCGGCGGTGCCTTTCCTCGTTAGTGAGTAGTCGATCCCTTGCTGCCAACCAGAGGAAGTGTGTGGTCTGAACTGGTCCCCTCCATATCCAAATTTTCCTCCAGTCCAACATTTGACTCGCCGAGTCACGACCACAAGCAATGGCATAGACTGACTTGACTCGAAATTGTCCATTTGGTTCAGGCCCCCAATAGGAATCGTCCCCTCCTGCCTCGTCTCTCGGCAGCTGGCTTCCCAAAACCTGCACAACAACCTCCGCCTGTAAATCATCTTGGATCAGAGCAGCGTTCCACTTACCTTCCTCGTCAAGGAAAGCCGCCACAGGCAATGAAGGGTCGATCGCTGGAGCTTCTTCACGGACGTGATCGATTAGGCGGAATGTCGGGTCGAACCATCGATCCGTCCAGAATGCTGTGCTCCTCCCATCCTTCACACACATGGCCATTCCTTCCGTCATTATTGGCCAAGCTTTTTTGATCCCTCGTCATAGGTTCGAGCATCAGGTTTCCAATTTCGCAGTCAGCGCGCCATTCATTGTCTTGAAGTATTTAGCCTGTAACACCTTAACCCAAAGCTCATCCAGATTTTTTATAAATAGCCAAGCTAACTTTGCAAGAAAGGAGAGATTTAGTTCATGAGATTTTCTAAGACTCAAACCTCCCTCTGCCTTAGGTTGGCAAACCTGTTCCCAATGAACCAGATGGACCTTGCGTTTGTCGGTGGTGGAGCCCCATATGAATCGACTAATTCTCATGTCAATCTGATCAAAAATTGACCGTGGTAGAAGTGTGGTATGCATGGCATACGTTGGAAAAGTGTTCAGAACTGACGTCGTTAAAGTCACCCGCAAAGGATAAAGAATCCGCTCGCCACCCTGCTAGCTTTTAATCCAGCTTGTCCAGGATACACTTGTAGGTATCTCTGGTGACTCTTTCATGCAGAACGGGGACTCCAAGATAACGTCCCAGGTCTTGAGTCGCATAAATTTCTAGGGTTCGAGTGATCTCCCCACTCGTGGTTCGATCTGTATTGCCCGAGAAGTAGACCACCAATTTGTCTTTGTTCACCATTTCTCCCGATGCCATGCAGAATCTACCCAAGCAATCCAGGATGACCCGTCCTTGTTGTGTCGTCACCTCTGCAAATAGAATAAGATCGTCAGTGAAGAAGAGATGCGAAAGGGGAGGGCCACATTGTGATGTTTTAATCGGTTTCCATCTCCGACCAGTCACTACTTCCTTGATTACATGACCGAGCCTTTCCATACATAGCGTGAAGAGATAAGGGGAGAGAGGGCTTCCCTATCGTAAACCTCGAGATGGGGTGAAATACTTAGTTTGCACCCCATTCCATAACACCTGCATTGAAGCCGTCGTTACACAATGCATAATCACAATAATTAAAGCACTAGGAAAACCTGCCGCCTCAAGGATTTCTCGGAGAAAAGCCCAGCTTATCTGGTCATAAGCTTTTGCTAGGTCCACTTTAATCACCATTTCACCCCGTTTTCCTTTCTTGAGCCCCATCGAATGAACAACTTCCTGGAGAATAATGATGTTGTCTGATATGTGACGGCCAGGGACGAAGCTAGTTTGAGTTTTGTGTACTAGCTGCTTCATCAATGGCTTCGGCCGATTTGCCAAGCACTTCGCAATGGTCTTATGGACCACATTACAAAGCCCAATCGGTCTGAACTGTGTAATTGATTCATGACTCTCTTTCTTTGGGATAAGCACTAAAAGGGTGTCATTCATTGCTGCAATCCGAGTTGGATCCAAAAAAACATGATTTGACATGACTCACAAACAAGTCCGCAAGCTTGTCCCAACATTTCTTGAAGAAAATCGCCGGATACCCATCTCGCCCGGGTTCTTTGAGGCCCCCCATCTCCTTTAAAGCATTCCAAATCTCGTCCCTGGCCAGTCCCTTACTCAAATGGTGATGCAGTGTGTTGCTGATCTTTTCGAATTATGCTCGGAGATAAGGCGGTGCGCCCCCTTCCTGCGTAAACAGCATGCAATAATAAGCACGTGCATACTGTTGTAGCAGTTGCTCATCATCGATCCATTGTCCCGCCTCATCCCGTAGCGCTTTAATCTTATTAAACCACCGACGCTTCAAGGTAGACAGGTGGAAATATCGAGTATTCCTATATGCTGCTACCACCCACGTGCTCCTTGATTTCTGAAGCCATAAGTGATGTTCTTGCCATAGGATCACTTCCAGCTCTGCTTGAAGGTCATGTTCTTCCTTTTATTCAGCTTCAGATGCCCTAGTTTCGTTCATTTCCTCTATACCACTAAGTTTTTTGGCACAACCTCCGATACAATTTTATACTACTTGATTTTAACTTTTAAGATTTATCGTTTAGTTGTTGGGTAATATCAAATCTATTCTTGTATGCTTAGCAACTAAATATAAAGTAGTTTTAAAAATGGTTTACTAACCATTTAAAATAAAATATTATGAGTTATTGTTTATTAATAACGCTGAAAATTTATAGAAATTTGAGATTTATTTCCTCTATTATTAAAATTTAACATTAATTACATTTAATTTAGTTAGTTAGGACAATGACCGGGAAAATCGACCATAACTTTTGAAAATTTGTTACCAAATTGGATCGTGGAATTCAGTTCGTATCGTAGACCGTTGAGAATGGTTTAGTTTGGCACATGGTTTGCATTGTGGGATGTTTTGCTCTTCATATGGTCTGGTCTGTTTTATATCCCGATTTATCATACCAGATCGTGAACCTGACACACTTCCTAATTTGTGTTAGCAGGCTAATCGATCACTCTCCTCACTCCCTAACGAGGCCCAAGTCTCAACTACCATTTTTTTAATAATGTCTTCTCCTTTGTCCACAAATCACCCTCTTGCAGAGAATAGAGGCGATAACATCTCCATATGACATGATGTTAATGTTAATGACATTATGATGGAAGTCTTTGTGATTTACTTGGATTTAGGGTATCAAAATTATGCATGTACAATGGAATTTATATTTTTAGGAAAAATACTATATTTTTTCTCGGTATTTATTTGATTTTTGGCGCGGTGGACCAAACAAATTATTTATCTTTTGCTCACCGTGGTCTGCATGATCTAGATCGTACCAACCAAACCACATAGGCGTAATCTGGTTTGGAGCGTATAATATTTTGTCTGATCTCTCGTATGTGCTCCATTCCCTTAGTCTGGGCTAGATCATATATATTGTTTGGTCTGAACCAAACGATATAGGCGTGATCTGGTCTGGAGCGTACAATATTTTGTCTGATCTCTCATCAATCACGATAATATTTTTTTCTCTATCTTGAGCTAAACACCTTTTGTTGTCCAGAAAATAAATAATACACTGGCAACTCCCATCATATGAAACGGATTCAGTGTCCAATGTATTTTTGTACTGTGTTTATGACTATATAATATATCTATGATAAAGTAATGCTTGTGATTTATTGTTCTTGTTTGCTCACATTTAGGCTCACCTTCACTATAGAGTGCATTCTGAGTGTGATTGTATCCGAAATCCATGCTCAAGTTAGCTATAAAGAGGGTGAGCATCTATGAGCAAAGATTATAATGAAGTCCATTAAGTAGCTCACTATCATTTGGTCCCCTATTTTATGAGCTCCTCGTAACCATGTTTTTGGTGGCTTTCTACCCCATTAGATGAGAATAATTGGCTCATTATAATGCAAGCCCATCGTTCATCTATAAATGATTATGAGTCGTTCACGAGGTGCGCTTGTTAGGCTGACTTATAGCATGTATTAGGTCACGATATTGCTACCGTTTATTGCGATTTAGAACAAACCACACATTAAAGAGATAAGTCGCTAACCAGATCAGATCGTAAATTTGGTATCACGGTTTGGACCAATCCGTGCGATCAACTTTAAATCACAACTTTACATACAATTTGGTTTGAATTCCCCGGCCTACACCCATTACTCATAATATCATAGTTTAACTTTTAATCCACATTGAATGTCCATTTACTTCGATTTTTCCTTTATTAGTTGGGTTGACTTGGGTCGAGTATTCATTTTTCATCCCAACTCCAGATATAGACAAGTACATTATTAAAGAGTCATTTGAAAATGGTGGCATATGTTAAGTCTATTTTAGCCCTCATACTATAAGAGAACGCCTACATGCATTGTGTGTCATTAAAATAAAAGAATAACGAATTCTTAAAAAATACGGGTGTGTAATAGTTCGGTCCAAATCGGAACAACCCTTGATAGCTGCACTCCAATATCAAAAGAAAATTTGAGGATCCAAATTGGACAATCGGTGATTTAGATCCATTTTGATGCGTCCAAATATAAACTCATTCTATTTTTCTCTAATATTTCGAAAATTTATAGAACTAAAAACTCGAACCAAACTATCATCGATTCGGTTCGGACCTATCCACTATCGATTTGATCGGTGCGAATCCGAAATGAACCAAACTGTTTCACGCGGTACAAATATGAC